AAATTGAAAGGAAGCTCTGACTTTATTGAATATGTTGGCATAGTTTTGCTCATTCGCTTCCTCTGTCAAAATCCGACATTTACTTGTTCAAGTAATACGTACGTACGATCCAACCGCCAGTCCATAATATACATTATACCTACATGCATGTCTTTTTTTCTAATGAACCAACCAAAAAAACAAAAGTAAATTTTGAGCATAGAAAACATAAGATTCTGAGCCATAGTGAATCGTTTGTCCACGGATTTGGACAACATAAAACACATATCTCGTGAGTTTCATCTTTCTTCTCTTAGATTTGTACCATATGATGATTACCTTTACTCTAATACGACAATATGAAAACCAAAATCCCAATACAACATAGGTAACAATAAATCCGAAACAAATTTTTGTTATCTATAATATGATAAGTTAAAAGGAAACAAACTGAGTCGCTTATATACAAAAGCTAAATAGCAACGTAACTCTGCATGTATAGGGATCGATCTGATCCCCAATCATTTTGTTTCTAAAAAATATATGCTTAATGTAGAAGCAAAATTATTTTTAAAATATAGGCATTAAATTTGTTTCATTACCTGAATAATGTAATGCCGTCATCTAGGTTAAATTCACATAGAATATATGTTAATGCTATATCCAGTAGATGGAAACAAACTGATAATTTTTTGTTGATGTCTTATTGGTTGATTTGGGTCAATCCCGAAAAATACATTTAATGATATAGAGTGGATTAGCTATCACACTAATTTACTAGATCAATGCTTGAGAATGTATATTAAATTAATTGATCAAATTGACTAAACGTAGCTACATTCGAAATATTATATGGTCAAACAGAAACTGGTTTGTAGCTCCAATCGATAAGATCTTGCAAGAAAAAAAAAGCGGAAGTGTCTGAAGGAAGTTTTGTATGTTTCTTGATGTTTCTTTGTGAAAACGTGAGACTAGATTTGGATTCATATATGAGATCGTGACCACTATTTAATGATATGAGTACACAAATACCACATTGGATACCAGTTGAAACATTGGCTTGGATTATGTTTATATAAGTAAATATTTCGTTGAACATTTTCTCTTTTGATAAATAAATTAATTAACAATATATTCAAATCCCCCATATTTGATATGTATATAGCTAACTATATATATTTTTAAACATGGACATCTTCTTATTAAAAATCTTATATAAGAAAACTAAAACACATGACACATATTTAGCCACTGATTGTTGACAACAAAAAACTATAGCCACTGATTTTTCTTATTGTCAGTTGTATTGAAGACTTACATCATGAACATTTCCTAGTTGAATGTAGACAAAAATCTAGACATCTTCGCTACCTGCTATCTATAAGGTCGTTAATTTAATTAATTACATTCACCAGGGCATCGAATATTGATTGAAACTGGTCTAAATAAGCTCAAACTTATATGCATATATACAAACCGATACGTTAGGCAACTTGTATATATCGTCATAGATAATAAATACGTCTGATATGCATGTATGCATAACAAGTATGGAGATAAAAGGTAACAATAATGTGAATCACGAAATAGAACAAGGGTTTGGGACCTGGAGTCTGATTTGTCTGAAGGAGAGGGGCCACAGCGACAGGTTCTGAAATCGCAGCTCACACACCTCATTTTCATTTTTATATTCGTTTGGTCCTACTTCATTTATATTCTTGTATTTTACATTTTTCATTTTGATATCGTTATTGCCATAATTGCTCAATTAATTACTAATCATTAGAACATATATATACATTCATCCCATTTATTTCTTGTGATCTATCTTAATTTTTTTTATTTATTCCACAGAGCCAGCTTATTTATTTTAGCTCTCTAATTTGTAATGTAGACTTTGACTGAACTAGAAACTTATAGCCAAAATCTATGTAGTTCAGCTCGGATACTGCTGGGAATTTTTCATGTGTTACACCTATAAAATTGAACGATACATATTTTGACTTATTTATCTGGTAACTAATATAACACTGTTTTCTAGTTTACCAAATAAATTGACCGTCCTGTTTTATTTTCTACTAATTTCATCTCATGAATAAATAATGGACAGTATCTTTGTGGGGACATGATGTCGCTAATATTGAAATTCAAGTGGATACGACTTCGGATTGTCCCAGTTTGTATATTATTTCCCGTTAAATATGTATATAATCTATTTACCGTGGTTGACTCTTTTGTGTTATTTGATTTGATACGTAAATTAATGAAAAATCATATACGTTGGGGTTTGTAAATATTGTAAATTATGGTATGACGCTACATTAAAAAAATCACATCATATGATGACTGATGACGCCTAAGTAATTTTGGAATGTCGCTTCATTCCATACAATATTATTTTTAAAACTGGTTAAATGCATTGTTGTTATTAAAACCCCATTTCTAATCCCATATATATTGACTGTGAGCTAATTCAAAAGTCTGATATATGATATATGTTCGTTATGAGACAATATAATTTGTTTATTTTATTTCAGTATAACTTTTTTTTTTTTTTATTTACGGCATTACACCAATGATCGATTACTTTGTTTTAACCATCATAGACTTTGTAGGCTTGCAGCTGTAAGCAGATTCAAAGACTAAATTTTGAGAATGCGCTCTTGTCACTTTTTGTATTTTGTTCTCTACTTCCCTTTTCATCCCACTTCCTTGTTCCGAAGCTAATCATATCCTCATTTTTCAATGCATGTGATCTTTGTCAACAAACCTTGACTAGCATATACTTCTGCTCACTTATTATATTACTGTAAAAGTAAAACTAGTTTATGATGTGTACTAACTTTGATTCAGTTCAATGAAATCGTCAAAAAAGAGAATAACTCAATGGCTTGATGACTTTCTCTAACATATCTCAAAACGACATGTGTTCTTTATAAGTGTAAACGCCACTATTTGAAGAGCTTACACTTTACCAGTCGATGATTGCATGCGACAAAGCAATAAAAGTACATGCATTGTTATTTGTTATTCTTAATTGCTTCAAGTTTGAATCTAACAATATATATAGTAGACTAGGAATATTGTCTTATCAATCTACGGTCTTGCGGTTGAAATCCTTAGTCTATAAGGACTCCTACTCTCGCAATATGCATATGGTAACAGCATGGTACGTGAATCGATCTCACGATATTTCTCCATTTCATTCTAGCTACTACTAGCTACTTATTGAGATTTATCTAAATACTTACTTAATCGTATAATTTTGGAAAGGAATGTTAATTAAATGCAGTTCTATAACAACTTTGTTATTGGAACACCACTTCGATCATAGAATGATACAACTACATTCTCTTTCACATATCTAAATACAATAAAAGGAAAAAGAAGAATGGAATTAAAAAGGGAGAGACTAAGGTCAAAAGAAGAAACATTTAAGATATAAAAGGTCACAAAGCCCTAGAGAATGATAATATTGTTCTAGAATTATTGTTGTGTGGGGACACATTGACCTCTTTGCCCTTTCTCCATGCTGGGTGCAAGCTGTTTTCCTTTCCCCATTTTTTTTTTTACCATTTCATTTTCTTTCTGACAAATGCAAATATCTTATTTTCAAACAAACCGATACAACACAAGTAAGTAGACCTTTTTATTAAATAAAGCAGTGATTTTGAAACTTTTTTTTCCAGCAAATTGGTTTTGAAACTTATTTGTTCATGTATTAACAAAACCCTAAGCTGAAGAAGGACATATTCACAGATCTGCTAAATGGAAAGGAGTAAATGAATTATTCAAGCGAGAAGAAAGCTGTTAATTATGTGTATAAAAGACATAGAGAAAATTACAAATAATGTAACTTCACTTCTGTTCGTATTGTTTTTGTTTCAGAAAAAAATAATTTATGGCGAGTCATTATATGGTTCACGAGATGCGTATGGTACAATGATATTGATAGCTTACCTTAAAGAGGAGAAGACCAATAGAAGAGACAAAAAAAAGACAGAAACACACATTCTCCACAACAATTTAATAATTTTAACCACAAATTTTTTTGGTCTCCCAGTTTGAAAATCCCCCGCTTTCCACATACATACATGACACATGAATTCTCGCCTTTCATTAATTTTGTATCATCATACATACTTTTTTTTTTGGGTAAAATTCATCATAGATACTTATTAATCTATATTGGTGTTAATTGTTGGCACCTTTCATAAATATATATAATTGGATTAGAGGAGTTGATATGTTTTTGATGACGAGTGGCTGAGCATTAAGAGACGACATACTACTAAAGCAATTCTTTTTTTTTTTACCAAAACGATGAAATGAATTTGGAAAAAAAAAAACAAGAACGGAGAAATTCATGTCACACGTGAATAAAGTAGAGAATTAATACTCGTTTTTATTGAAAAAAGTTCAAAGAGAAAATATAATTGGAAAAGAAAAAGTGAAAAGAAGTAGAGAAGATTTCACTACATAGAGCTTGAAGAAAATTGATAAACATAAATTTGAGTGATACAAACGAATTATCATATTATATATAAGCAACCCTTTTTATCATATGGAGTATAAGAATTTACCTTTACATGGTAAATATGTTTGGGTTGGTTGAAAAAAAAATGTTTGGGTTAGTTGAAAAAAAAAATGTTTGGGTTAGTTGATACGCGCCTCGTGCACGTAGAGCAGGTTTCAATTTGAGAAGACATTTAACAAAAAAAATCTAAAGCAATTATTGTGTTGCGTTTTCTTTTCTTGTCATCTGGTGTTATATTACATTCCAAAGAAAACATAACAATTATTGTGTTGCTTTTTAAAATTTGTTTTCTTCTCATTTTTGAATTTTTAAAAATTATTTCATGTATGGAAGCGATTATATTCAAACTGACCCAAAAAAGCAAGACTTGGCTCTTCTTACCAAGTCAAATCCCAAAACGCTAAATCCTTCATTTTCAATCATAAACACAACAATCGCATTCCATGATAATAAACATTCATAGTAAACATTTTGCATATCGTTTACACGTTGCTCTTAACATCTCAATATCTATATGGCTATTTAAGTTTTTCGAGTTCGTTGGATTAATTGTTACAAATTGTAAACATATTTAATACATTAATAACACCGTAGATTAAGGCACAAAGATTGCAAAAAAGCTTCAAAATTTACGCAAATACTATTATTTCTATTTTCTCTTCATCACATATTCACATCCCATGCCGTCAAATGTCATGAATACCCTCCACACATGCCTTGCAAAGTAAGGGCATCCGCGACATTTCCTACATGCAATGTGGAACTTAATACAAAGATTGTTCTAAAATTTAAAAGACTTTGTAATAACATAAACGATAAAACCCGTAATAACAGAACACGAGCTCAGGGAGTGGCTACGAGTGCCCATGGAAGATGCAAAACTGGTTTCTCCTTCTGCGTCTCTTGATCTGATCCTCTCATCTTCTTCAACGGGGGCTGCTGCTGCGGAGAAGACGATGGTGGAAGATTGTTCGAACTCGTTGACCACGAATCGTTTGAGCTCTCGTCGCTATTGAAAGGGTTTGAATCGATCACGCAGCTTGGTGATTCGCCACTCTTGCGTTTCCGGGAAGATTGGGTTTCGAACTGTGAGCTGATGCGTAACTTGAGGATGAGATTGTAGCAAGTTTCCACTTTTTCCTGTGAATGCACGAAAGGTGTTCGTGAAAATGCCACAGCAAGACAGAGTAAACAGAGTTTCTACTAGTCGAGGGATTAAAGAGCTGACCTTTGTTATGTTCAGGACACCGAGGAGCTTAGTTTGGTACGAAAGAGGGTCAAAGGGCTCAACTTGCTCTATGATTCTCATCATGGTAGCTGCAGCAACAACAGATGGGAGGTACCCGACAAATCTTGAATCTGACAAGAATTTAAGATAACTAAGATTTCAGAAGCTGATAAAACGAGATGGGTTTGTGGTTTTGTCTTTTACGAACCAGAGATTACAGAGAGGATGAGACGGTGGCAGCTGTTGAGGAAATCCCAGTGAGCATTGTTCTTTAGCCCCAGTCTCCTGATGATGTGGTCAAGAAACGAGATTGGAGTAATGAGATGCATCTTCCATTGGAGAGTAGACAGTATCAGCAGCTCCATTCTCTGTATGGTTTTTGCCTCAAACACATACTTTGTCTCCTCCACCTACACCAAAAAGCAGATAATATGAGAACATGAGGACAAAAGAGCTAAACTTTAATGGAGATGATGTCAAAGTGTCATCATTTACTTGAAAGTCTAGAAGAAGAGGGACATGGGTTTCTTCGACTTTAGCAGCTAGAGAGAGACAAGCAACAGAAACGAGCTGAAGCATCCATGGTTTGTCTCTCTGTAAGCTGTAGCTAGCGATGAACTTGTCGAGGTAAGTTATGGCTAACACAGCTGCCAAAGTAGAGAACCCATAATGAGAGTTGACTCTCAGAATCCAACCCACGGCTTCTTTCCGATCCGTGGCGAGATAAACATCATCGACACAGCTGAGTCCTTGCTCTTCTTCTTTGGAGAAGAGTGTGACCAGATCTTCGTCTTCCCAGAACAAATCTTGCTGCAGAAGAACCAATGGAGAAGAAGTAGAAGCAGAAGAAAAGAAAGAGTTGTCTTCAACTTCTTCTACTTCTTCATCTTCTTCGTCTTCCCATTTCTCTTCGTCACAGTAGAGAGCATCAAGAAGAAAGGAAGTGTTCTGTTCTTCTCTACTTTCTTCCTCCTTTGGAACAGCCATTGTAGGAAAAGACTCAAGAATGAGAAAGAAAGATCTTCTCTTTAGTTATTAGTGTTTGTTGGCTCAGGGGATTACACAAAAGAAGATAAGGTGATAGAGAGAAAATCTCTAGGAGAGAGACTCATCTTCCTGTCTCCGTAGATCACCACTCTATGGAAGCGTGCTGGGATTAGCTTGTAGCAGGGAGCTAGCTAGCTACAAAAAAGAGAGGCTAGAGAGAGAGAGAGAGGAAAAGCTGGAGAAGTGGGAAGGAGAGTGTAAAGAAGGAGACTGATTTATGGAGAAGCTGGAAACTCTTCCTCCGATCGAGGAGAGTAACTCTTTTACTTTGAATGAAGTTATGTTTGATCAAAAAAAAAAAAAAAAAAAGGAGACTGATTTATGAAGAGAAGGCGAGTTGGTTTTCACGTTTGTCTTTTTCACTCGCGCAATATATTATTTGTTTTTCTTTCTGAGTATTAAATGTGTCGTTTTCTTTTTCTATTTTCTTATTTATTTATGATAATTTCTTTTTCTGTTTTTCCACTTTACCTACTTTTACTCAGTGGAGTAGAGATCGAGAAACCAAAGTGCAGTAAAATCTGTCGGCTGATTAACTAAATTACACAACCTTTTTTGCCGATTGTCAACAACGTATATAGATAGGCATTGACCAAATCAATACTAGTGCGACGATAAGCTGCTGTGCACACACACACACACAAAAAAAAAGAGTCTCTGAGTGAAGATGAAAGAGGAAGTTTAAGTAATTATTTGGCTAGATAATTAAAAAGCTGGCATAATATAACAAAGATCCAAACTTCTGCATGAGTTTCATTGACCATTGCAACCATATTCTACAATTTCCAAAGGCCAATAACAGCAAAGAGGAGATAGAAAAGAACAAAAATTCGTCACCAAATTATAGATGTAGCAATAGTATTATCTATACATGATAACCACTTTTCATCTATTCTCAAAGCCGGAGCTTTAGTATGGAGGCGGCGGGTATTGTCCTGGATAGGGACCTGGAATACAAGAATAATATTAGAGGTCTTCAATCAAATATGTTACAAGAAAAACACTCACATTGGTCTATTACTATTTATGCAAATTGAAAACGTAATAACAAACGGAACTTATTCCTTCCATTTACAATTGAAAAGGTAAAGGTTGTGGTTTTATTTGGAAGATGAACATCATATCACAGTAACTAAACACAAAAGGAAGAATATTTATATACCTTGTGGATAATATGGTGATGGTTGAGGAGGGTACGGAGGAGGAGGGTATGTGGAGGATGGCGGAGGAGGAGGGTAAGCTGAAGGAGCAGGAGGGTAAGCTGAAGGACCAGGAGGAGGAGGGTAAGCATATGGCTGAGGAGGATAGGCTGAAGCTGGTGGGTATGCTGATTGCGGCTGAGAGTATTGTACTTGTGGGTATAGAGATGGTCCAGAGTATGGTGGTGACGAATATGGAGATGGAGAAGGTGGTGCTGAGTAGTGAGGTACTTGAGGAGCATACGGTGGTGCTGATGGCGCAGACACGTGATGTTGGTTCTGCACACAAGAAATAACATTGTATGTGTTTGTCAACAAATGAACCTGTAATTCAATATTGTTAACTGAGTCTTGACTTTACCTTTGCACCTGCATAATGCAGTATGAGTCTTACTTCTCCCGCATATCTGCAAGACAGAAAGATGATGCATATTCAGAAGATATGTAATCAAATACCAATGTTCTTACAAGGAGCAATCGCTGACGACAAGCTACCAAAATCTTTGCACATCGTTGTAACTGATACTTCGGAATATATGACATTAAAAGTTCCAATCAGCAACACTTAGCCACTATGGTAAAAAAAAAAACTCTAATTTGACACTAAATGGAACTTAATTACTTATTTTTACTTAACCTAACAACAGACAGTACAAGCTCAATATATTTTAAAAGCTCCAGTTCCATCTTATTACTTCCAGAGAAACCTAATTCGAATGCTATGTGCTAGAGTGTGCTCAATGTAGAAACATGACTACTAGAATATGCTCTTATCTTAAGACCCCTTTTTCACATTACATTAGGAAAGGAAAGAAATAGTGATTAAAAAAAGATGGTGCATTTGGCAACATATAAATAAATAAATGGCAAGATTTAAACAACCAACTCAACTGGAAAGCATAGGGTACACGAATGCAGCAACTCAATTGAGAAACTATATATTCAAAGCAATATATGCTGCAACCAAAAGTTTCATTGACAATTAGCAAGTCCGACACCAAAAATCAGAGAGAGAAACGTGCACCACGCATCTATCAATGCAAAAGTCACTAACACTAGAGAAACACCAATGTAGTTAGTTACCTGCCAGTTTTAGTCTGAAGAGTCCAGGAACAGTCGTCGTAACCTTGAGAAAGAACCTTCTGCAATTGAACCCTATTCACAACAAACAAAGAAACAGAAAAACAAACTCAATCCCAAATCCGAGAAATTTCAAAGCATAAAAAGAAGAACGAATGCAGAGAGGCATACGTGGCATTGCCAATAAAGTCATCAGTGGAGAGAGTGTTGCTATTCCATACAGCTACCTTAAGATCCCTAAGGCCTTCAAGTAATGTGAACATAAACTTCTCTTGAAACACTGCGTTCTTCCCACCATCTGAAACGTAGTAACAATATTTTACAGAATTAGAACGATATGAATATGCAGATTCGTCAGGATCCGAACAGATCATATGAATGAATAATAGGAATAACCTGTGCAGGTTCTGGTTTGGTGCCTTGCGCCGCTATACTCAAGGACAACGTATGGATCTTGCCTTGAAAACCATTCCGTGTCTTTCAATTTCTGGCACCCTACCACTGTAAAGTTATCACATAAATACAACATTTAAAAAAACCTTTCTGAGAATCGAATCAACGGAATAAATTAATATTCAAACGATTCATAATAACAAAATTAGGGATGTGGAAAAAAAAAAGGCACGAACCAGTGACCTCGAGAAGCTGGCCTTGAATTCCCATCGTCATCATCGACATGATAGAAGAGAATAAGAGATAAGTAACGGTTAAAGCTGAATGAATCTAGAGGAGAAAGGTCCGTGTTTCAATGTATATAAATCAAAACTTTGAATTTTCCCAGAAATTGCTTTCAAGAGCAAGCAAGACGCGTAGCGTAAGCCGCTGACCGTATTATTATTGACTTTTCATAATAACATAATAATCCCACGGCTTGAGATTTACGCATTTATAAAATATCATTTCCTCTTGACTTCGTAATTAAATACAGTTAAAAATATATATTCTCTCTATTTCAAAATCATTTTAGAGTTACTCTATTTCAAGATCATTTGCTAGGCCACACGAATTAAAAAATAATTATTTTTTTAAAAAAATTAATAAAATATATTATCTAAATATTTAACCATATTTTAACCAATAAAAAATAATATCCATGATAAAATTAATAAATTTTGTAATGACACTTATTTTGTAATGAAAAATATATATTCTCTCTATTTTAAGATCATTTTAGAGCTACGCACACACACAGATTAAAAAATTAATTAATTTTAAATATTTTCTAACTAAAAATTCATTATCTAAATATATAATCACATTTTAAACAACAGAAAAACAAATTTTACAATAAAATTAATAAATTTTGTATTGAACACCAAAAAATATCATTTATGTTGTAACTAAAAAAATTTTCTACAGTAACATTTAATATTACAACGACATTAATATGAAACGGTGGGAGTATTATAAAGTTTTATTGCGTCTACATTTTCTCTATAATACAAACTCAAAAATACTAATTTCAAGGTTAAGAGAGATTACTGTGCAACACGTTTAAGGATAATCTACAAACTCAACAAAAAAGAAGTTGTCTTGTGCAACAAGTCACCGAAAGTGTTATCTCCTTCTCATTTGAGGAAAACCAAGGCCTACATTCCCAGTGTTTCCTACTGCTTGTATTGGTTCAACCAAACCTTTTGCATTCTTCCCCAGCGTCTCACCCTGCAAATTTACATTTCCACATTTAATCATTAAAACCACATTCCATCAAAAAGTGAGTTAGGCTCGTAAGTTACCTCCTTCCAACCCATGTTTCCCATTATCCTCCTTGCATAACTTCCAGACCCAAATGATAACTCCAATGCTTCTTCTGCTGTTGCATCCTCTTCGGAAGCCGTATCATGCTCTTCCCCGTTTAGGCCTGACAGTGTTCCCTTTTGACCTGGCCCAACACCATATCCACCATGCAGATTTCTTCTCTCGGCGGCTCTATCTCTGTATGAAGAGCTTCTCTCCTAATATAACAACACGAGCATCAATCAAGATAGTACTTGCTTCTTACTATGGTTCCAATAACACTAAACTAAGCGATCGAAATACTCTTAGTAGATTTAAGTTTTCTCACTAAAGCCTCATATATATAGCAATCTGTAAACATCCTTCACAAATACTCTTAAATTTAAGAATCTAGCATAAAAGTGTATTTGGTGTACCTCTTCAATCATGTTGACTTCATCTCGTGGCTTCACCTTGAGTCTGCGCACAGTTTTTGGTTTCTTCACCTTCTTAGCTTTGCGTTTTGTAACAGGATCTTGCCAGGTAGTTGAAACATCAGGGAATCCCCAATCTTTTGTTGGGTTGGATGCGTCATATACTGACAACGATGCAAGGTATTTTGGACTAGGATTTTGCAGTTTATAGACTTGACCTGGAACACAAAAAATCCATAACAAAGCACATAAAGTTACCACCTCTGGTGTGTCAAGAGCAGCTACAAAAAACGATATAGTCAAGGCTCGGTTAATAGGAAAAATGGTTAAAACCTGTCCTAACTCGCACCAGGTGAAGGCGTGCTTCACAGATTGGTGCAGTTTTGAAAAGTGTGCCACCAGAAGCCACAGATGGATGAAGATTGGCGGAACGTCTAACCAGTCTCCCTACTAGCCTAGCCACCTGTTCGCTGTCATCTTTTCTGGACTCACATACAAGTTTCCAGTCCCACAAGTCAACAGACGGGATCTCAGGCAGGGTCTTCTCAGGGGATTGAGTGACTTGACCATATTGTGCTAGCCACATTTCTTCTTCCTCCGTTGAAGGAGCAGCTACAAATGAAACTACGAGCTATCAAAGATATGAATATGCGCTGAAGACAGCATATCATCGAAATAACAAGAGTTTCTTAGACATACTACAGGGCTTGTTTATCATTTCATGATTAAAAATCAGCTTACGAGAGAACAACAGTATACACCATATGGGATAAGGATTTATGTAGCTTTTGTTTTTTTTTGGACAAAGGATTTATGTAGCTTTCATATAGCTATAATCAATCATAACTAAGAAAACTGATATGGTGCAGGTTGAAAGCAAATGACAAGAACATAATAAACAAAAAAAACCTTGATCAAAGTTGTCTTCCTGTGGATCAAAATCTTCTTCAGGAATCCATTCTCCCTCTTCAAGTTCCTCAGAATCATCGTCTCCTGAAAAACAAAACACAAAGTTTAGCTCCTCTCCTTAAGAGCAGATTCATTCTAAAAAACAAAGGCTATGTAAAAGGCTAATGAACATTATCACACGCAGATACCATTAGCTGACAACATCTGATGATCCTGATTATCATCCGCAGAGTAGCTAGGCCGTCGATTGTTTCCTGCCAGATAAAGCTCAATAAGTGTATCTTCCACCCTGATCCAAAGGAAAAAAAAAGTTTCAGAAACCATATGCTGAAAAAAATATATTACTTTCCATGACAATGAAATATACAACTTACCATGAGGAAGGTCTTTGATTATGTTCAGGTTCTTGGTCATTGTCATTTGAGCACCCTATAGGCTCTTTCGAGCAAACAACGTACCTATCAGTTATCAATCATAGATGTTATGCAACACTTTACCTGAACTCTTACACGTAAAATTACCTGAAGGAGTTTCTGTCAGCAAAACTTCAGCCTGAGCAGGAGAGTATTTTCTGCCCGAGTCCTCTTCAGAAGTGGCAATATGTACAAGAGGGTTCACGTTAGACTCGTCATATTCCAAGGGAACATATTCACCATTTTCATGCTTGTAGTAAAGACCATCCTTGCTACTATAGTACCAACCAGCAACCGGGTCATGATAAAACCCACTACTGCAGTTAGTAACAATCAAAAACAGTGTTAGCAAAACAAAAAAAGGAATACACTTTAACAACAAACATTCATCAAATATTACAAGGAGAGAGTTTGTTGGTTTAATAGAACTAAACATCAAATCTCATTGAAGTCTCTTCTTATAGTTTACACTAAGTAAATTAAGCTTCCTCGAACACCCAGGATACATTTAAACCTAAACAAGGGAAAATTAACTACTTTTTCACTTAGATTTTCTATCAAAACTAAAGCAAAATTAGGCTTGGGAAGAGACGTAGCCTGTAATGGATGTAGAGCTGCGTATCGTTGTCCCAGACGTAGGAGGAGACTTCTTCCTTGGGTTCTTCCAATTCTTCTTTATCGTTGGGCATCAGTGATTGATTTTGCAGTTATGTCAACGAAATAAACCAAAAGATTTGCTGAAATTAACGAGAGCCTGGAGACGATGAAATCGTACCGGATATAAATTCTCAAATCAGAGGAAAAAGAAACTAACCGAATGGTTTCGGTTTAGGCCCAGGAACGTTATTAAACTTTAGCTAATTAAGGCAAAGCCCAAACTATTTGGGCTTTTACTTGAGAACAAAATCTTTTTTTTTTCTTTTGGACAAAGAGAACAAAATCTATTTATTAAGGGTTGGCTGCCTAAACCCACCTGCAGACTTATCCACCCTATCTATTCCCCTCCATACTTCTTAACTCTTGAAAAACCCACCCAGATTGTTGAATTCTCTTCTTAACTAATTGCGTTTTAGACACTTAAAGCGCTCCATCACACTCTCTCGCAGATTCTTAACTTCATTCACAAGTTCATCATGTTTTGCATCCACCTTCCCTATCTCATCTATCACTGCATCCACCTTCCCTATCTCTCTCTCTCTCTCTGTTCCTTGTGGTTCTCTCTCTCTCTCTCTCTCTCTCTGTTCCTTGTCGTTCTCTCTCTCTGTTCCTTGTCGTTCTCTCTCTCTATGTTCCTTGTCGTTCTCTCTCTCTCTCTCTCTCTCTCTCTCTCTCTCTCTCTCTCTCTCTCTCTCTCTCTCTCTCTCTCTCTCTCTCTCTCTCTCT